TGTACACTTACTGTGAAAGTCCTTTTCGTGATATATGAACATAATGGTTCACTTTATTAACAAGGAAACAATGCATTATTCATCACACACTTTGACAGTACATTTCCCCTTTAAAGCCAGTCTCCTTAACTGTTGCTGAACAGCAGACAGCAGCCTCTAAGTTATAGAAAGGTGCTGAATGTTTCAAATGTAGCTTAGTAGTAATTTAGCATCTGGGTACAAGGGTTTGCTGGTGTAACATTAAACAAGTGAAAAGAGTCAGTCTGGATTGCAGATTTTTTTTACATGAGGCACATCATTTCTCTTTATTCTGAGAAACACTCTAATTTTAAAGATTATTTTTGTTAAACCTATTTAGCAATTGTTGGTCAGCAAGATCTACTAAATCAGAGGTGTGGTCTGTTCCTATTCAGTGTCATGGAAAGGCCTTGTGGCAGTCATTTGACTATTACCCTGTACGTTATGCCCACACATACATTGCATTTAGCTGACGCTTTTATCCAAAGCGACTTACAATAAGTGCGTTCGTCCAACAAAATACAACTTAAAGAAAACAGAATCATATAAGTACATCAGGTTTCATAGAGCAAAAACATTTCAAGTGCTACTCAACTGGCTTTAGAAAAGCCAGTCGTTTATTAGTATAAAAGTGCTTCGTTAATAGTTCTATCGCTCGAAGTGGAGTCGAAAGAGATGAGTTTTCAGTTTGCGCCGGAAGATGTGCAAGCTATCTGCCGTCCTGATGTCAATGGGGAGCTCATTCCACCATCCTGGAGCCAGGACAGCAAACCCACGTGTTTTCGCCGTTGGGAACTTGGGTCCCCCTCGCAGCGAGGGCGCAGCGAGTCGTTTGGCTGATGCAGAGCGTAGTGCACACGCTGGGGTGTATGATTTAACCATGTCCTGGATGTACGAAGGGCCAGATCCATTCGCAGCATGGTAAGCAAGTACCAGTGTCTTGAAGTGGATTCTAGCAGTTACCGGAAGCCAGTGAAGCGTGCGTAGGAGCGGAGTAGTGTGGGAAAATTTAGGAAGGTTGAAGACCAGACGAGCCGCTGCATTCTGGATGAGCTGCAGAGGTCGGATGGCACATGCAGGTAGACCAGCCAGGAGGGAGTTGCAGTAGTCTAGGCGTAGATGACGAGAGCCTGGACCAGAACCTGAGTCCTTCTTTTGCAGCTGGGACGTATCTTCCTGATGTTGTAAAGCGTGTATCTGCAGCAACGGGTTGTAGCAGCGATGTTTGCAGTGAAGGACAGGTTGTTATCTAGGGTCACACCCATTCCTTGCAGTCTGAGTCGGGGAAACAACTGAGGTGCCGATGTTGATTGTTAGGTCAGTGGGACAATCTTTTCCCGGAAGGAAGAGCAGCTCAGTCTTGTCAAGGTTGAGTTTGAGGTGATGAGCAGACATCCACTGAGAGATGTCAGCTAGACAAGCAGAGATGCGTGCGACGACCTGGGTCTCTGAGCGGGGAAAGGACAGAATTAATTGGGTGTCATCAGTGTAGCAGTGGTATGAAAAACCATGCTAATGACTGATCCGAGCGAGTTTGTGTACAGGGAGAAGAGGAGGGGACCAAGAACAGAGCCCTGAGGGACCCCTGTAGTTAATTGACAAGGGTCGGACTCAGACCCTCTCCAAGTCACCCTGTAGGTACGGTCTTTCAGGTATGAGGTGAGGAGGGAAAGTGCAGAGCCTGAAACTCCAAGTTTTTGGAGAGTGCGAAGGAGTATCTGATGATTCACCGTGTCGAATGCAGCAGACAGGTCCAACAGGATGATGACAGAGGAGAGGGATGCAGTTTTGGCAGTGTGCAGTTCCTCCGTGACAGCAATGAGAGCAGTTTCTGTGGAGTGACCTGCCTTGAAACCAGACTGGTGCGGATCCAGAAGGTTGTTCTGATTAAGATAACAGGAGAGTTGTTTAAAGACAGCGCGTTCAAGTGATTTAGACAGGAACGGAGGAGAGAGACAGGCCTGTAGTTTTTACATCAGACGGGTTGAGAGTGGGTTTCTTTAGGATAGGGTTTACTCTTGCCTCCTTGAGACTGTTTGGAAAGTGACCAGAAGTTAGAGAAGTGTTGATGAAATGGGTGAGAAACGGTAGAATATCAGGAGCGATAGTCTGAAGGAGGTTTGAAGGGATGGGGTCCAGAGGACAGGTGGTAGGGGCGGGCAGAGGTAATGAGGGTAAGAACCTCACTTGGAGAGAGAGGGGAAAAGGAGGTAAGTGTGTTGGTGGAAGGAGGGTCTGGTTACCCAGCGGTGAGTAAAGGTGAGTCAGAAAAAGAAGAGCGAATATCATCACCTTTTTTTCAAAGTGGGGTAACAAAGTCGCTTGACAGAAGTGAGAGGGGGGAGGAGCTTTTGGAGGGTCCAAGAGGGTGGAGAAGATTCGACTCCACTTCGAGCGATAGGAACTATTAACAAAGCACTTTTATACTAATAAAGGACTGGCTTTTCTAAAGCCAGTTGAGTAGCACTTGAAATGTTTTTGCTCTATGAAACCTGATGTACTTTTATGATTCTGTTTTTCTTCAAGTTGTATTTTGTTGGACGAACACACTTATTGTAAGTCGCTTTGGATAAAGCGTCAGCTAAATGCAAATGTAATGTATGTAATGTAAAAAATAGTTTTTTTAGGATTGGAATAGGAAGATTGGATCTTATCTTGAAAGAAAGTGCTTTTTGGCCTGAGAGATCGAAGCAGAGAAAGAGGAGAGGAGAGCTTGAGAGGTTAGGAGGTCGTCACGGGTTTGGATTTCCACAATTTCCGCTCTGCTGCCCTAAGGACGGTTCTATTAGCACGCAGTGCATCATTTAGCCAGGAGCAGGAGGGGACTGACGAGCCTGCCGAGATGTGAGAGGACAGAGCGAGTCCAGAGTGGATGAGAGAGTAGAGAGGAGAGTTTCTGCAGCAGAGTTTGGAGGCAGGAGTTGGAACGAGTCAGAGGAAGGGAGGGCTGAGAGCACCGACGAGGCAAAGGTAGAGGGGGAGAGAGAGCGAAGGTTACGGCGGACAAGTGCAGGATGAGAAGAGATTAGTTTGTTATGTTTGGAAAGTGATAGAGAGAATGAAATGAAGAAGGTGATCGGATGTGTGGAGCGGGTTTACAGAGAGGTTAGAAGTAGCGCAGTTCCTTGAGAATATGAGATCAAGGACATTGCCAGCTTTATGAGTCGGTGGGGACGGAGACAGTGAGAAAGCAAAGGCGGTTAACAGAGATGTTAGTTCGTCTAATCTTCCCCCTCTGGAGGTTGAAGTCTCCGAGAAGTACAGCGGGGAGGGGCCAGTTCAGGGATGTGTGAGAGGAGATTATCTAATTCTCCAAGAAGTCCCCCAAGGCGCCTGGATGGACGGTAGAGAACAACAATGGTTAACTGTATAGGATGGGTTACTGTGACGGCATGGAATTCAAAGGTGGAAGGAGTGAAGTTAGGTAGCTTGAAGAGGGAAAAGCTCCATTTGGGAGAGAGCAGGAGACCAGTGCCACCTCCTCTGCCAGTTTGGTCTGGGTGTATTGGAGAAGGAATATGCAGTGGAGAGAGCTGCTGGGGTGGATGTGTTGGATGGAGTAATCCACGTCTCAGTGAGAGCAAGGAAATCCAGAGACTGCAGGGAGGCGTAGCCGGAGATGAAGTCAGCCTTAGGAACAGCTGACTGGCAGTTCCACAGGCCACCTGAAACTAGATGTTGGATCTCAGTGGAGCATGTGGGATAGATGAGAGCAGGCCGGTTATATCGATTACGAGATACACGGGGCCAGTGATAATTGCGAGAAGACACATGAACAGGAATGGAGAAAATACACATGATTATAGCATGAGGGGCTAAACAACCAAATAAAATGAAACAAAAGAAAAAACCCCAGCGATACTTAGCTCAATCAAAGTAGGATTTGCCTCCTCTTTGCCTCCCTCGTGACTCCCGCAGGACTCTAATGTCTTTGCCAGTCTTTGACTCCCGCAGGACTCTAATGTCTTTGCCAGTCTTTGACTCCCGCAGGACTCTAATGTCTTTGCCAGTCTTAGCCTGTCTGACGCTGAAGCTGACGCTCCAGGAAAGTGCTACCTAAAATGGACACCTGATTGCTGAGTTCTCACAGCTGTGGGGCAACGTCCTTTTAATTAGTTAACTCTGCAGCTGGTGGCCCTCAAAAGGAAATCCAGACTGGCTTCGTCCTGATTTCTTATTGTCTTTTAAGTCAATTACATTAAACCCTAAGTTATAAAGTTCTGAGTTTAACCCTTAATACAGTTACACCTACTCAATAAAGCTCTTAGTATTCTACAAATGTTTAAATCAAAGTTAACCCTAGTAGTCAGTTAGTTCACTTTTATGGTTTCAGTCAAATTACTTTTCCCAAGTTTCTGTCTGACAGATGCTGTAGCGGTACATCTCTGCTCACTGTTATTAGAGCATACGTATTGTACTATATTCCTGATTTTATTGTATATAGTTTATATTTGTGTTGCGGTGACAGGTTCATGTGCCATGCGTTAAGGCTGGGTCAAAAGTTCAGGACCTACAATGGCAGAGACCAGATGGATTCAGTCTTTTAACAAAGTTTAATAAAGGAAAAAAGGAGCAACTAAAAAACCATCCACAAAATGAAGGTGGATCTAGTTCACGCCGGTGGCGGCGGCAAGACTCAGGCTGGCTCGAGCAGACACTGGAAAAACAGAGGAAAAAACAAGGTTACTCTTCAACAAAAGCAGCAAGAGAAAATCACACTAAGCTAGGATACTACGACGTTCAGCTCTACCGAGTGAGACGGAATTATCTGGCACTGGAGTGTGAACATGACCAGGGTTTTATGGAGGAGTTGATTAGATGAGTACAGGTGCTCCTCATTGTGAACCAGCTGAGCCTTCTAACAATCACCACACTGCACAGGAGAGAGAGAGAAGTCAGAGGGGAGGAGGAGAAAGCAAAACACCTAAACCATAACAGTACTCCACCCCCCCCCCCCCCCCCCTAACGACGCCTCCTAGGCGGCCTCCTGGCGGCCTTCCTGGCTTGTCAGGGAATTCCCTATAAAATCTTCCAGGAGGGTGTGGTCCAGGATAAGGGCTTTTGAGATCCAGGACCGTTCTTCGGGACCATATCCCTCCCAGTCCACAAGGTATTGGAAACCCCGACCACGCCGCCGAATGTCCAGCAGCCGGCATACTGTAAATGCAGGGTGATCATCAATGAACCGGGGAGGTGGGGGAGGGTCAGCCGGAGGAGAGAGTGGACTAGAGACAAAGGGCTTGAGCAGAGACACGTGGAATGAGGGATGTACCTTGAGAGCAGGAGGAAGGCTAAGGCGGACGACACTGGGATTTATGACACGTTCGATTGCATATGGACCAATATATCTTGGGGCCAACTTGCGCGACTCAGTCTGGAGCGGCAGGTCACGAGTGAAATTGAACCTTCCAAGGAACAGTTTCCACCGAACCTGACGGGAGTTCAACCTGTGAGCAGAACGTAAATAGGACAGGTTCTTGTGATCGGTCCAAATGATAAACGGACATACAGAACCCTCCAACCAGTGTCGCCACTCCTGCAGGGCTAGCACAACGGCTAGAAGTTCCCGATTCCCCACATCATAGTTCCTCTCTGCAGGTGTGAGGCGACGAGAGAAGTAGGCGCAGGGGTGGAGTCTATGATCCTGGGACGAGCGCTGGGAAAGGATTGCCCCGACACCTAGATCCGAGGTATCAACCTCCACCACAAATTGGAGTTCTGGATCTGGGTGAATGAGGACAGGAGCGCTGAAAAACAAATCTTTTAGTTTACCAAAAGAGGACTCGGCCGCAGGGGACCAGGCAAAAGGCAGTTTGATAGAGGTTAACTGGGTTAGAGGAGCAGCAATATGACTGTAGTTCTTAATGAACGTCTAGAGAAATGTGCAAACCTGAGGAACCTCTGCAGCTGCTTCCTGGTTGATGGAACCGGGCCAGTCCCGAACTGCTTTCACTTTAGCTGGGTCAGGTTTTAAACTGCCCCTTTTCAACGATGAAACCCAGGAATTGAACAGATGACACATGAAATTCACATTTCTCAGCCTTAACAAACAGTCTGTTCTCGAGGAGTCTCTGGAGCACACATTTGACATGAGAAACATGATCATCTAAAGACTTTGAAAAAAATCAGGATATCATCTAGATAAACAAAGTGGTTTAGCATGTCCCTCAAAACATCATTTATAAGGGCCTGGAAGACAGCTGGAGCGTTAACCCAAAAGGCATGACTAAATACTCAAAATGGCCCAGGTGAGTATTAAATGCTGTTTTCCACTCGTCACTCTCTCTGATGCGAACTAAGTAGTATGCATTTCTAAGGTCAAGTTTAGTAAAGACAACAGCGTCATGCAATGGGCCGAAAGCAGAGTCAATGAGCGGGAGAGGATACTTGTTTTTGACGGTAATGTCATTTAGACCTTTGAAGTCAATACAAGGGCGCAGGGACTTGTCTTTTTTGTCCACAAAGAAAAAACCTGCTCCCACAGGTGAGGAAGAAGGACGAATTATGCCAGTGGACAAGGATTCCCCAATATACTTCTCCATGGCCTCTTTCTCCGGCCTGGAGAGGTTGTACAGTTTTTTTTGTGGGTAAGGGAGCAGCTCAATAGCGCAGTCATAGGGCCTATGTGGTGGCAGAGAGAGGGCACGATCCTTGCTAAACACAAGTTTAAGGTCATGGTACTCGCTAGGAACAGATGAGATATCGACCCCCTCAGCTGGACTAGGGGAAGAAAATGCAGTTTTAGCTGATCCTAGGCAATGTGAGTGGCAGTGATTACTCCAACCAGTAATGGAAACAGTTGCCCAATCTATCTGGGGATTATGAACCTTTAGCCAGGCTAAACCGAGGACAACAGGTGACAGCGGAGAGGAGATAACAAAAAGTGCTACAGTCTCTTGATGATTACCGGATATGGTCAGCGTAATGGGAGCTGTGCGGTGCGTGACCTCAGCTAATAGTCTGCCATCTAATGCTAACACTTCTTTGGAATTAGCCAGTTCAACGGTGGGAATGGACAACTTAGAGATGATGCCAGAGTCAATGAAATTGTCATCAGCACCAGAATCAATGAGGATCTGGAGGGGATATGTGTCCTGTAACATACCTGGGATTTGAATACGACGACCAGGGGATGAGGAAATGGAAGAATGGCTCACCAGCGTTCCCCTTATGGCTGATGAGCCCGCTCTTTTGGCATCTTGGGACACCCCGCGATGTAATGGCCCCCTTGTCCGCAGTAATTGCACAACCTCAGACGGAACCTGCGTTGGCGGCGCTCTGCTTCAGTCAACTTCATCCGACCGATCTGCATGGGCTCCTCCTGGTGAGGCGTGGGTTGAGATGCTGGCGAGAACGGCAAACGAACACTGGCGGGCTCCGGAGGTGGGCGAGGAACAGCTGGTGACACACAGGAAAGGGGGGAAGGGAAGAAGGCCCTCTGCCTGACTGACCTCTCCCTACGTCTCGCCCTCAACCGGTTATCTAGACAAATAGCCAGACTAATTAACTCCTCTAAGTCGGAAGTCTCGTCCCTAGCGGCTAATTCGTCCTTGATTTCGTCCGCCAACCCTCTTAAAAACACACTCTGTAAAGCCGCTTGGTCCCAAGTACACTCTGCAGCTAAAATACGGAAATCAAGGGCATATTGGGAAACTGAGTCTCTTCCCTGACGGAGAGAGAGAAGCTGGCTGCCTGCCTCCTTACCCCTAACAGGGTGGTCAAAAACCTTGCGCAGCTCTCCGGAGAAAGCATTATAATCTGAACACAGGTAAGGCTTTTAGAAGAAACTGCCAGCGACCAAGCGGAGGCTCTCAGAAAGAAGGCTCATAACAAAAGCTACTCTAGACTGATCAGAGGCATATGTAACTGGCTGCTGACTGAAAACTAACGAGCACTGATGAAGGAATTGGCTGCATGTCCCTGGATTACCTGAATACCTAGCGGGGATGGGAATATGTGGCTCCCGGAGACCTGGACTCAGTGTTGCTGGATGAGCAGACGGTGAAACGGGAGAGGGAGCTGGAGGGAATGGAACAGGATCTTGGTTAAGCCGGGTCGCCACGTCTTCCATGCGGCCGCCCAGCTGAATCATACCCGTCGTGAGTTGCTCAAGTTTTTCATTCAAGCTTCTCAGGACGGACTCGTGCTGACCCACGAGCGCCCACTGTGAGGACAGGGCCTGCCTAAAAAAAAAATCAGTCTCTGCCGGGTCCATGTTTTTTGGCCAGATAATTCTGTTAAGGCTGGGTCAAAAGTTCAGGACCTACAATGGCAGAGACCAGATGGATTCGGTCTTTTAACAAAGTTTAATAAAGGGAAAAAGGAGCAACTAAAAAACAATCCACAAAATGAAGGTGGATCTAGTTCACAGGACTCAGGCTGGCTCGAGCAGACACTGGAAAAACAGAGGAAAAAACAAGGTTACTCTTCAACAAAAACAGCAAGAGAAAATCACACTAAGCTAGGATACTACGACGTTCAGCTCTACCGAGTGAGACGGAATTATCTGGCAGAGGAGCAAGTCAGTGCGACGATCAGTTGTGAATGAAAAGAAAAATGAGACAAAGCAATAAGTCTCCCCTGAAATAAATAAATGTTGTATACGATATATCCATACAAGCTTATGGTCTTTTTTGCCTAATGTTCATCTTCATTTTGCACAAGCTGGGAATTATTTGTGGTAATGTGGTGGCTCAATTAACGGTTTACAAACCTTTAGTGTGATGGGCATCTTGGTCTTCACTTGCTATAAAAGCGTTTTAAAAACAGACCATTATCCCTCCCGACCAACATCTTCTGGAGATTGTAAAGAACATTTGTTTTGGTCTGGCAATGTTTAGCACTGCCAATATTTGATTTAATATAATTTACTCCTTGTAAAAAATGTATAGAAGGTTTAGTGCGACATCTCCAGGTGAGCAGGTAGTCTGTTTTTGCTTATGCTAAGGTGTGGTTGTGTTTAGTGTTGCCAAGTTCAGTTGACCAATCACATATTAGGCCAACAGTGAAAACACCCTCTCTGATGCATATGTGGTAACTGTGGCTGGGGTCACCTTTAAATAGCTGACAACACCAACTCCTGTTAAGGGGATGGAGGAACCTGTGGACCCTCAATCTAAATCCAAAGTTGTTTTGCAGATGTTGGGGCTTCCCTTCACAAGGACAATAACAGAGGCATTCATTACCAAATAGAATGCAGCTTTATGTCACAAATATACATGTTACAATGTCAATGTTCAGCTATCAATGGGTAAAAGGGTGAACATACTTTACACTATTACATTGTGGGTTTACCCTCCTCAGACAACACACTCTCACTCCATAATCGTCCAGGAGCGACGTTTGGTCAGTGTCCGTGGCGTGCAGTGGTGACGCTCCTAGGCTCCTTCAGCTTCATAAAGGGACGCAAATAGCTTTCAACTGATTGCAATAGGCTTGTTTGAGACAAGCGAGACCTGCGCAGACCTGTGCAGTTGCGATCAACGTCTTGCTAGTGCGTTGCATGATGGTTAGTCATTTTGTCCGACTTGCTCTGGAGGCCCGCCTACATGAGACGTTGAAATCTCGCGGGACAAAGACGCCCGCAGCCTTGAGAGCGAGGCGAGGTGGCGCAGTTCCTCTCCACGGGCTGCGGAAGCGAAATGCTTGATGGGAAACGACTCGCTGTTATCTCGAGCTGAGCGCTCATTGGTGGTTTTTACCACGTGCTGGTGATGAAACTCTCCAATTGGCTCGGCAAAAGTTTGCTGTTGTTTTGTGTCAAGTTTTACGTCGCCACATCCATTCCCATTTTTCATCATTGTTCCACAATGTTTATCATCATGAAATTAATATCCATATATTTTATACTATACTTGCACTGCTTACCGTTTCATACTTTATATATCTTAGCATATTCATACACACTGTTCATACTGCTCACAGGCTGCTGTGTATAGCTATTGTATTCATACCCCTCACTGTTTATTCATCATTCAATTCATTCTATATTTTATTCTGTAGATTGTGTACATTACTTTTCACTTTACTGCTTGTTGCACTCCTGGTTGGAAGCTAAACTGCATTTCGTTGTCTCAGTACCTGTAATATGTGCAATAACAATAACGTTGAATCTAATCTTGCGCAGGAACAAATGTATTTACTTAGTACATATCTGACATTAACGATTAAACATATGTGTGCATTCTTTATAAATGCAAACCGAGTCAAACCGACTACGGAGGTGGCGGTATGCACCTTAAAGTTGTTTGCAATCCGCCAAATAACCGAGAGAAGAAGAAGAAGAAGAAGAAGAAGAAGAAGAAGAAGAAGACTCCGAGCTGTCCGACTTCAGGCGAGCTTTTTGAGACATCCCCCGGCTGCATTTTAATCCCAGGTATCGTCTGGGGGGCACGTAATCATCCCACGCAGATCATGCCGGAGACGGAACCCCCACTCTGAGTCTCCCACTGCACGGACCACAGCTCGTCCTCCCAGATCATCCCTTCACCCCCCTCATATCATTCACATGTTACTTCAATAAACTTACAAACATCACACTGTTGTGGCGTGGTTCCTGCTAGTGAACCATTGGTCAATATACAGTAATACACCTTAGTTTGGCCGACAGCCAGAGCTATGGCACTTGAAATAGAATTCAGCCAGAACACGGCAGGCAAGTCGGGCATGTTTGGAATGAGTCCACAACACTCCTGATTGGTTCATATATACGTAATCGAAGAAACCTGCCAATGAGAACTGTCCGCGCCTGTGGTTCACATTTGAAACATCCATGTCAGTTTCCTGCGAGCTGCAGCTGTCTGTATGTCTGCTGCAGGAGTTTATGGATTCATATCGGGATCGTTTTACATCTACACGTTAAATATGAGCATCGGGACATCAACAAAGAACAGAAGACTTGCGATCTGGTGAGTCTTGCAACTGTAATGGAGTGAAACATGTATTTAGATAATCCTTAGTTTGTGAATGTTTTATTTTTTATTTAAATTATTAAGGTTACGTTTCTTCTTCTAGTTAGCTGAGTTTCTTCCCGTTAAGTTGGTATGCATAATTAATAGGTTGTTAAATGTTAAGAAGCCCTGAGATGCTGTTTCTTGCAAGATGTTGCGCCCGGGAAACCTAGCTTAACAGGTGGCTGCTAACGTTAGCTTACAGTTTATTGCAGCTTATCCCCACCCTCTCATCTCCAACACGGGAGAATTACACATAAACTTGCAGCGGGGTGTCACAGTGTTGTCGCCAAGTTTAATGTAAAGTTTCACAGCTTTCTTACAGCGGAATCTAGTTTGTTAATGTTCAGTAGCCAACAGCTAGCATAGCATAAACAGCTAACCGCTAACGTTCGGCTAACTTGCTAGTTAGCTCTGCTTTATATATTACAAGCTAACATGACTAGCTAATGTCATACTGTGTGAACTAACATAGTTTTTGTATTACTACATCATACATGCTTGGTCCAAATCACTGCTAAAATTAATTATTTTTGAGAATGTGTAGTAAAGAAACACTCAGCCATGCATGAAATAACATAGCAAAATAATACGGGTAATGTTTGACCCATGTTGTGCCTTAGAAGTGTAGTGATACAAACATGATTTTTATTCAAAAAGTAAGAAAGGGAAAAATAAAAATTAGAATTGGTGTTGATCCAAAACATGTTGATTGAGGAATACCTGGGATCCTGAATGGTTAAAGTAATTTCTTGCAAAGATATTTACAATTAAAACTAATTCGGGTCACTTTTGACACATGTTGGTTGTATGTTGTGTAACAAAGGGTTAACATGACAGCTGTGATGTTCACTCTTTTGACAGAGCACCAGTGGACAGTGAGGACTATGGAAGAGAAGATGTGATGGCTTTGTGTGGAAAGCTGCTGATGCCAGCCTGTGTCCCTCTCATCAGTCTCTCCAGGCAGCACCCAGCTATTCTTCCATCATGCAGATGAAAAGACTTTGATATGTGAGTAATAACTAACTTGTGTCTAACATAATATTGAATGTGGTTTAGTAAAGTATTTAAAAATACCCCACATTGTACAGGACAATCAGACCTTTTTCAACAAAGATCATCAGGCAATTGTTTTGTCTTTGAGGTACAGCCGCAGCAGAGTCTGAGTTTGAAGAAAATACTAACATTTTATTTAGTGTTGTTTAATCAATCAATATTTACTGGTCTTGAATTTCCTCACTGGATTACAAAATGCTCTAATGTTATTGTACAGTGACATTATGCAGATTTAATCACCTGAAGATGAAAATAGATTCAGCGATATGTACCTTTTTAAGGAAATAGACTGTTAGCAGTATTGACCGAAGCTCCGCAGCTGTAGCTAGGCGCTGCTAATGAAAACTCAAGTACTCAATTTGTTGGTTTTTCTTTTTTATTAAGAATTGACCAAGCATATCTTCCTCTTCGAAATCCCAGTTGTACTTCGCTAACATGCCTGGGAGGGTGCGTTTGATTGTTCCCACCCTTACCTCATTTATGGACTAGGTCATGTTAGACAAGCAATCCAGTGGTTAGTTTTAGGGTAAGCTCCATTGTTTTGTTTTTTTATTTATTCACTTTAAGAGAAAGGGATTTCAGAAACAAGTCTCACAAGTTTGGCTCGAGGTAAAATTAACAAAAGCTAACTGTTGTTAGACTATGTTCCCCCCTTCTAAACTTATGAAATAATCAATGCCCTTGGGATGCTCTCAATAACGTGTGTGTGTGTGGTGTGTGTGTGTGTGTGTGTGTGTGTGTGGTGTGTGTGTGTGTGTGTGTTTGGTGTGTGTGTGTGTGCGTGTGTGTTGTGTGGTGTGGTGTGTGGTGTGTGGTGTGTGTGTGTGTGTGTGTGTGTCTTGTGGTGTGTGTGTGGTGGTGTGTGGTGTGTGTGTGTGTGTGTGTGTGTGTGTGGTGTGTTTCAAAGGTCCACATACAAGATTTATCTATCTTTATCTATTGGGCAGCTGTGATTAATAACATCCATCATCATGGTTACTAATAGTTATCACTTCCCTTCCTCCTTCCCAGCATCTGGACACAGCAGGAACCTACGCCAGGATCCTCTTTGTGGACTTCAGCTCTGCCTTCAACACAAACCTCTGGCTGGAGGCTGCGCTCCATCAGGACCAACACCTCTCTCCATCAGGACCAAAACCTCTCTCCGATCAGGAACCAGAAACTCTCTCCATCAGGAACAGAACCTCCAGAACCTCTCTCCATCAGGACCAAAACTCTCTCATCAGGAACAGAACCTCTCTCCATCAGGACCAAAACCTCTCTCCATCAGGAAACAGAACCCTCTCTCCATCAGGACAAACACCTCTCTCCATCGGACCAACACCCTCTCTCCATCAGGACCAAACCTCTCGCCACCTAAACAAGGCCCGCCCCCCCCCCCCCCCACTGACACTTTACCTCAGCCACAAAACAGCAAGGCCGTATGGGGAGACCGTGCCCCGGCCGTACTACGTTCAAAAAACAAATGCACCCAAAAACCCCTTGTATCACACCCCTTCCTTATACATTCTCTCACCCTTTTTTTATACACCTCATCATTCAGTAGTTTCGCATTCAAGCACCACATACCCCCGCCTCTCCCATTCATCTTCAGCCCCATCCTGAGACTAAGAACCATATGATCACTCAACGCTGTGGTCCTATATTCAATCTTTCCAATCTTTTCATTCACAGCTTCCGAGCACAGAGCTAAATCCATCCTGCTCTGCATAAGTTTATCTTTCACCACTCGTCTCCAAGAAGATTCTCTAACATCCGGATTTCTTTCTCTCCACACATCTATCAACCCATTCTCATTCATTATCTTTTTGAGTGCCCCCCTCGAGGAGTCGTTACTAAAACGAGCACCCGCAGGTGCATCCAACCTTCCACACCGCACATTGAAGTCTCCCACAATCAAACAGTCCCCCCCACATTTACCATCCAACCCCTCAAAAAAAATCCTTCTCTCCCTCTTTTTATTTGGTGCATACACATCTATCAACTTAAAAGTGTCCCCCATGTATTCATACTGTACCCCAATCATCCTCCCTTCACCATCATCCTCAACCTTCCTTGCATTCTTCACATCCCCCGAATTGATGAGTATCGCCACCCCTCTAGCATGCTCACCCCCATTATTTGCAAACACTTCACCCATCCACTCCTTTTTAACCTCATCCACACTCTCCCCATCCCAATGTGTTTCCTGCAGACATATGATGCTGGCCTCACATAGACTTAGCGCCCGGCTTCTTCTGAACTTACTTTTTAGACCATTACTGTTTAGGGATGAGATGGATGCCATCAAAAGGGATGTTATTATAATAAACGTCCTTTGCATCATTACCTTAAACTGGTTTCTTTCCCGAGCTCCCCCTCTGTCGAACCCGCTCTCCTTTTCTCCACCTCCCTCTCCTTGTCCGCTTTGCGTCTAGCAATCAGCCCGGCGTTCTCCGCTGAGGTCTTCTTCTCCTCCTCGCGCCTGTTTCTCCTCATGCCGCGGCCCCTCTGCTCATCATTAGGGCTCCCGAAGACCATGGCGCCCCCCGGGTCCTCCGACAGCTCTCCCTCCTCCATTCCGGAAGCCTCCGAGATGTCTTCCACCACTCCAGGACCCCGACACTTCTTTCCCCCTCCGCTGCTCCCTTCGGCGCCTCTGCTGCTTCCGTCGGCGCCTCTGCCGCCCTGCCTGGCACTTTTCTTGCTCTTTCCCACGTTTGGTGCTTTCTCTTCCATCACCGAAGCCCCCTAGATGTCCTCCACCACTGGACCTTCATCTTCGCTGCTGATCTCATCATGGGGTCTTTTCTTTGCCCCCTCCGCCTCGTCGCCTTCCCCCCCGTCTTCCTCATCCTCCTCGTCTTCCTCCTCTCTCTCTTTCTCTCTCCGCTCTCTCAGCTCCATACCTGCACTCCTTGGCATAATGCCCTTGCTCATTACACCTGTAGCATTTAAAGTCTGGGCATTCTCTGAAGATGTGACCCGGCTTTATACATAACCTGCACACTGGAACCTGGCCATTGTGCAGGACCCGGAAGTACTCCGCCCCCTTCGCCGTGTCGAACTTCATGGAATACGGTAGGGAGCGGACCTTATTATTAAACCTCACTCTCAGGAACCCGGTGCCGTCTACAATGTCCGAGTCTGGCCACACTCTTTTTTTTATGTCCGAGATGGGCTTAACTCCCCACTCCTCAAGCCTATTTAATATCGTTTTATCCAGCAAATAGACAGGCAGATGCAGGAACGAGACGGTCACATCAGTGCTCATAATGTTTTTTGCGTGTACCGCGGCCCCGTTCACTCTCAGCCCCTCCATAAGTTTCATTTTCCCCAGGATGGTCCTCATCGTTACTTCATACTGTTCTCCCGTCACTCTACATCCATCCACTGCCCCACACTGTTTCTGTATTCCTTTAAGCAGGTCCATCATAGACAGTGACCCTTCCACAACTACTTCCACAGTTAATTCCACACTGTACCTCGTACTCTCCATCTGCCCCTCTTTTCCTTCCCCTCCCGCTTTCTTGCCTTGTTCTTGCTCTTCTTCTTTGTCCTTCCTTTCGTCCGCCTTATCACTTGCCCTTCCGCCTTCCATGTTCGGCACCTCAGCAGTCCTGTCCACTCCAGCCGCAGTTGCCATCAAAACTCTCGTCGCACCAGATCACAGCACCGGGGGGGGCCCAAACGGCAAGGCCGTTTGGGGAGGCCGTGCACTCAATCTTGCACTGAACCATGCAGCCAAGAGAAAGGTTATCTGAAACTGCCGGCAAAACTTTTATAACTTACATTTTACCGATCACCGGTCATGTGATCACGTCACGTGACAATGACGTCACATTCCCACACATATATAAAGAAGCAGCCTGTCACTTGAAGCTTCACAATCTCCATCAACGGTTCAGTGCAACTTCAACAGACAGAGACGGTGACATCATCATCATGCTGGTTTTCCTCTTCCTGTTGGGCCTGGCTCTGGGTGCTGTGTCTTCTTCAGATGACCCTGAAATGGTGCTTGAGCGTAGCAGCTGTCCCTCATTCTGGTTCTCCTTCAACGGCCGCTGCTACAAGTACATCGCCACAAAGATGACCTGGGCTGATGCAGAGCTCCACTGTCTGTCCCAGGGAGGCAACCTAGTGTCTATCCACGGTAAAGGAGAAGATAATTTTGTCAAACTCCTGATCAAAAACTTTGACCTTGCTCAGGGACCAACATGGATCGGACTCAGTGACATCCACAAAGAAGGAAGTTGGATGTGGTCTGATGGGTGTGTAGCCAAGTTTTTCTCTTGGAAAAAAGGAGAACCAAACAACCGAAAAGGTGAAGACTGTGTACACAACAACTGGTCAGGGATGTGGAATGATAGGAGGTGTTCAACAACTCTTCCCTCAGTTTGTGCATCTCGCACAACTTGTCCTTAGCAACTGAGATGTTACGTATTCACCTGTTTTGTTAACATGCCTTTGACAACAATAAAGACACAGATGTACACTTGTATATGTGTGTGAACTGAAGTCCTTTTTTCTAACCTTTATTTTCATGAATGTTACATATTCACACTGGTCGCTCCAGGGGTTAATCAAAGGAATTATTTCTACACCTTTTAAAAAATATCGTAAATAATATTGATGAACTATTACATTTTTGCCATTGCTTATTATGCCTATTTATTTTAACCACAGTTGTATATCATTCAATTATCACATGTGGTCAGGTATTTACGGCACCTGGTGTGTGGATGACGAATGGGCTGAACCTGCTCTTTTCTGTTGACCGTATAGTCCTGCTTTGGTTATTGTTTGTGTTATTTTGTTCAATCAACATTAACTTTTGCACAGATTTTATTTAGGAATGCTTCAAAGTGATGAGTCTTAGAGACGTGATTCATTGGGAAAAGTACCGTCACTAATGTTCTGGTTATGGGAACAACAGGTGTTTAATGGACAGGGACACTACTTATCATGTTTCTCTTTCACATGGCGTGAAACTCAAAAAGTGGCAGCATGGTGAATTGTTACAGACATGTTTATCATCACCTGCGTCTCAGAATCCAATGTGTTTCATATAAAATGAATGATTATTGGTTTTTGTTGGAAAACAAAATGAATTATTCAAAATATATACACTTGTATATATTGACAATTTAAATTAGAAAAATCAACCTTCATCGGTTTTTCCTTTGTTTTATTTGAAGAGGTACTGGAAAATAACCGGGTGAAACAAAAGTGCCCACTCTTAGCCCGGCCTAGAAATGTGCGTAGAAACCCGTTGCCTCAAACCACTTACGTTTTTACACAAGCAAGAAAAGTAACCGGTTAAGTTGTATACACGTAGAACTAAGTAGACTTATCTTAGTTTACATTTGTAGTCTTATCTCAAATTCATTAGTTCACATAAATGATGTCTTGGTTGTATGAAATAACTTGGTTAAGTTAAATATAATAAATAACATTTATCACTGCTTAATATCATGTGTTAATATAACATGTATTTTAATCAAATTAATTGTACCATTTTGATTTGGGGATTGCATTTATACATTGTTTCAACAGAATTGTATGGAAGGGAAAACATGAAACAATACCTTTAAATATTCCAAAGTTTTTATTGACAAAAATAACCTTGTCAACCAGAAGACAAGTAAAGACAGGAATTAAAACCCACAACATTTAACAACCTGACAGTGAAAGGTCAGCGAACAGTGCTGAACATTATGATGTCACTGGTAGCAGCTGAACAGCAGTACAAGTGTCAGTGCATTTCTTTACATTGTAAGCTGGTTCTTCAATGTTTGCAACCTTGGCTTTAGTTCATCTTGGCCCAACGTGAGAAGAACCTTTTGGATGAACTGGAATGTGAGCATCATAGGCTTGGGGCAGTTGAGATGCAGTGCGTATGTAAGACCAAACAGCATGAACATCGCTTTTGGCAGGTCTTGGATGTTGGCGATCACAGCTTGTCCCTCAAGGATGATCTTCAGTGAGATGAAGATGAGGGACCAGCACCTTCATGCTCAACCAGGAGGATCCCAATTTCAAGGTCGCGGAACGAGTCCTCATCATCAGTGTCCTGAAACGACAGCAACATAAGAGCACAATCAGGACATGTTTCATTAAATAACCATAAATAATGCAATATAGTCATAAAAGAGTCAGACACATGAGGGAAGGTGTGAGTTGGTTCTGCTGGAATAGAGCACAAACAGATCACTCAAAGAGGTTAGAAAGAGCTGTTGCTATAGTGTTGACTGAGAAATCATATTTTCGTTGTCATCGCAATATGAACACGTATGATAAAAAAAATAGCAATAAACAATTCATGAGAAATTATTTAATTTAGGGATGGTATGGAAACCCAATATTAAACGTAACCCACATTTGGTCTGCATGAACTGTTTACCTCAGTTTGCCACGTATCTTAAAACTAGTGTTAATTTCGTCAGCTATTTTTTTATTTAGTTTTAGTCTTAGTCCTGTGTTAAATTTCTTTTTTAGTCATATTTAGTCACCTTCATCCTGTTTTAATTTAGTCAAGTTTTAGTAGACTAAAAGTCTGAGCATTTTAGTCTTATTTTAGTCAAAGAAAACTAATTATTTTAGTCTACTTTTTGTCAATGAAAACTGTTGAGTCTTTTTTAGTCATCAGATTATATAGAACATTTCAGTCAAACTAGTCTAGCCAAAACCAATAATTTGGTATTCGGTTAACGCGACCACTGCTCCCAAGCCCTGTTGTTGCCCTTTTATTTTCTGTTAAATAAGGTTAGTTAGACCATGAGTTAGACCCGAGTCTTCCTGACAGTTCACAGTGTGCCGCTGGCCCGGTGTAATGCAAGTGTACCGCCGTGCGCAGCACAGACACACAGCTGCTGTCCAGCCGCAGCACAGACACACAGCTGCTGTCCAGCCGCAGCACCGGAAATGGAACTGCTGGGAGAAAAACTGACTATCAGAGATGTAACGTTATCTTTGACCCTCCCCCACCTCCCCGGTTCATTGATGATCACCCTGCATTTACAGTATGCCGGCTGCTGGACATTCGGCGGCGTGGTCGGGGTTTCCAATACCTTGTGGACTGGGAGGGATATGGTCCTGAAGAACGGTCCTGGATCTCAAAAGCCCTTATCCTGGACCACACCCTCCTGGAACATTTATATAGGGAATTCCCTGACAAGCCAGGAAGGCCGCCAGGAGGCGTCCGTTAGGGGGGGGGGGGGGAGTACTGTTATGGTTTAGGTGTTTTGCTTTCTCCTCCTCCCCTCTGACTTCTCTCTCTCTCCTGTGCAGTGTGGTGATTGTTAGAAGGCTCAGCTGGTTCACAATGAGGAGCACCTGTACTCATCTAATCAACTCCTCCATAAAACCCTGGTCATGTTCACACTCCAGTGCCAGATAATTCCGTCTCACTCGGTAGAGCTGAACGTCGTAGTATCCTAGCTTATTGTGATTTTCTCTTGCTGCTTTTGTTGAAGAGTAACCTTGTTTTTTCCTCTGTTTTTCCAGTGTCTGCTCGAGCCAGCCTGAGTCTTGCCGCCGCCACCGGCGTGAACTAGATCCACCTTCATTTTGTGGATGGTTTTTTAGTTGCTCCTTTTTTCTTTATTAAACTTTGTTAAAAGACTGAATCCATCTGGTCTCTGCCATTGTAGGTCCTGAACTTTTGACCCAGCCTTAACACATGGCACATGAACCTGTCACCGCAACACAAATATAAACTATATACAATAAAATCAGGAATATAGTACAATACGTATGCTCTAATAACAGTGAGCAGAGATGTCTGTGTGGGCATAACGTACAGGGTAATAGTCAAATGACTGCCACAAGGCCTTTCCATGACACTGAATAGGAACAGACCACAGCTCTGATTTAGTAGATCTTGCTGACCAACAATTGCTGAATAGGTTTAACAAAAATAATCTTTAAAATTAGAGTGTTTCTCAGAATAAAGAGAAATGATGTGCCTCATGTAAAAAAAATCTGCAATCCAGACTGACTCTTTTCACTTGTTTAATGTTACACCAGCAAACCCTTGTACCCAGATGCTAAATTACTACTAAGCTACATTTGAAACATTCAGCACCTTTCTATAACTTAGAGGCTGCTGTCTGCTGTTCAGCAACAGTTAAGGAGACTGGCTTTAAAGGGGAAATGTACTGTCAAAGTGTGTGATGAATAATGCATTGTTTCCTTGTTAATAAAGTGAACCATTATGTTGCATATATCACGAAAAGGACTTTCACAGTAAGTGTACATCTGTGTCTTGTGGCCAAAGGTACGTTAACAGAGTAACGGGTGAACAGTGACCTGGTTAAATAAGATGTCATATCTCAGTTGCTAAACGCAAGCTATGCCAGAGAGGTGCCTCTTCTTTCCTTTACAAGCTTCAAACATGTTTTATCATGAGATTTTGGCAATAACAGTTTCATGTTCTGAAAGCCAAGACTTTGTTTATTTAAAATCAAACAAAACACCCGAACCCTGAAAAACTAGTTTTTTTACACAAATCCACGTTTATTTTTTAAATGAGCCGTTGCTATTTTTGACTGATTTCGATAGAGCGGGTCACAAATAATAACAAATTGGAAGGAAAAAAATCAATACAGATTTCAGTATTCTGAAGCTCTGAGCCCCATTTATTTTCCTCACAAACGGTTTTTTTTTGCCCGACATTATACGATTTAAAATAAAAACAATAATCGTGGCTTGATAAGAACATGTTTTTATGAACCACACAGCTTCGGGTCTTCCATGACCCGACCGGACAAAAAGACGCAGGCACGAAAAATTAGACCGTAGCTTGTTAGTATGTTATAAATTATAAACTGAGGATTTGACCTCGTCGCTATGGTTGATACTTTTAGAAACAGGCTTTAATATAAAATCTTGAAGTATTATAAAAGTAAAACTACATGTTGCTTTAATCCCATGTAATTGTAGAATGAACACAGTCTTCCTTTGAAGATGTATAAGGTGTCTTGAGTAGTCAAAATGACAAATCATTGTACACATTTGTAAATATTATTTTCCACTTGTTACCATTGAGAGTCTATTTTTATGCAGCTCTGCCTGATTTTGTGGTTACAATTCAGGCTAATATGCTACCAGAGGTGGAATAAGTAACTCAGATATTGTACTTGAGTAAAAGTAGAAGTAGGCCTACTCGGATCTTGTAGTGAAAGTAGATGTAGGCTACTCAGATGTTGTACTTGAGTAGTACTCAGATCTTGTTCTTGAGTAAAAGTAGAAGTACCAGAGTGTAGGAATACTCTGTTACAGTAAAAGTCCTGCATTCAAAATGTTCCTCAAGTAACAGTAGAAAAGTATTATCATCAAAATATAGTTAAAGTAGCGACAGTATAGTCATTGTGCAGATTAGTCCATTTCAGAATAATATATATGATATGTTTTATAATGATTGATCATTAAAGTGTTCTCAGAGCAGGTAAAGGTGCAGCTAGTTTGAATGACTTTGTATACTGCAGGGAGCTTGTGAATTTACTCCATACTAAAGGCTGATTTAACACTTTATTATATTTTTAGTTTATAAAGTAACTGAAGGTATTAAATACATGTAGTGGAGTAAAAGTACACCATTTACCTCTGACTTATGTTTACTGCCAACCTAAAAGTACCTCGAATCGTTTTTTAGTTTCCGAAAAAGGAGGAGACGAAATATTATCAAAGATAACATTACATCTCTGATAGTCAGTTTTTCTCCCAGCAGTTCCATTTCCGGTGCTGCGGCTGGACAGCAGCTGTGTGTCTGTGCTGCGGCTGGGCAGCAGCTGTGTGTCTGTGCTGCGCACGGCGGTACACTTGAATTACACCGGGCCAGCGGCACACTGTGAACTGTCAGGAAGACTCGGGTCTAACTCATGGTCTAACTAACCTTATTTAACAGAAAATAAAAGGGCAACAACAGGGCTTGGGAGCAGTGGTCGCGTTAACCGAATACCAAATTATTGGTTTTTGCTAGACTAGTTTGACTGAAATGTTCTATATAATCTGATGACTTTTAGTAGACTAAAATAATTAGTTTTCTTTGACTAAAATAAGACTAAAATGCTCAGACTTTTAGTCGACTAAAACTTGACTAAATTAAAACAGGATGAAGGTGACTAAATATTACTAAAACTAAAAAGGAAATTTAACAGACTAAAACTAAATTAAAAAATAGCTGACGAAATTAACACTAGTTTTAAGATACGTGGCAAACTGAGGTAAACAGTTCATACAGACAGCTTTTGTCTTAGCTGGTATACCAAATGTGGGTTACGTTTAATATTGGGTTTCCATACCATCCCTAAATTAAATAATTTCTTATGAATTGTTTATTGCTATTTTTCACGCGTGTTCATATTGCGATGACAACGAAAATATTATTTCTCCGTCAACACTATAGCAACAGCTCTTTCCAACCTCTTTGAGTGATCTGTTTGTGCTCTATTCCAGCAGAACCAACTCACACCTTCCCTCATGTGTCTGACTCTCTTATGACTATATTGCATTATTTATGGTTATTTAATAAAACATGTCCTGATTGTGCTCTTATGTTGCTGTCGTTTCAGGACACTGATGATGAGGACTCGTTCCGCGACCTTGAAATTGGGATCCTCCTGGTTGAGCATGAAGGTGCTGGTCCCTCATCTTCATCTAGCTGAAGATCATCCTTGAGGGACAAGCTGTGATCGCCAACATCCAAGACCTGCCAAAAGCGATGTTCATGCTGTTTGGTCTTACATACGCACTGCATCTCCATTGCCCCAAGCCTATGATGCTCACATTCCAGTTCATCCAAAAGGTTCTTCTCACGTTGGGCCAAGATGAACTAAAGCCAAGGTTGCAAACATTGAAGAACCAGCTTACAATGTAAAGAAATGCACTGACACTTGTACTGCTGTTCAGCTGCTACCAGTGACATCATAATGTTCAGCACTGTTCGCTGACCTTTCACTGTCAGAATGTTACATGTTGTGGGTTTTAATTCCTGTCTTTACTTGTCTTCTGGTTGACAAGGTTATTTTTGTCAATAAAAACATTGGAATATTTAAAGGTATTGTTTCATGTTTTCCCTTCCATACAATTCTGTTGAAACAATGTATAAATGCAATCCCCAAATCAAAATGGTACAATTAATTTGATTAAAATACATGTTATATTAACACATGATATTAAGCAGTGATAAATAATGTTAATTATATTTAACTTATACAAGTTATTTCATACAACCAAGACATCATTTATGTGAACTAATGAATTTGAGATAAGACTACAAATGTAAACTAAGATAAGTCTACTTTAGTTCTACGTGTATACAACTTAACCGGTTACGTTTCTTGCTTGTGTAAAAACGTAAGTAGTTTGAGGCAACGGGTTTCTACGCAAATTTCTAGGCCGGGCACTTTTGTTTCATCCGGTTATTTTCCAGTACCTCTTCAAATAAAACAAAGGAAAAACCCATGAAGTTTGATTTTTTTTACAAGTGTATATATTTTTGAATAATTTAGATTGTTTTTGTTTCCCAACAAAAAACAATAATCATTCATTTTATATGAATCGCATTGAAATCTGAGACGCAGGTGATGATAAACATGTCTGTAACAATTCACCATGCTGCCACTTTTTGAGTTTCACACCATGTGAAAGAGAAACATGATAAGTAGTGTCCCTGTCCATTAAACACCTGTTGTTCCCATAACCAGAACATTAGTGATGGTACTTTTCCCAATGAATCATGTCGCTAAGACTCATCACTTTGAAGCATTCCTAAATAAAATCTGTGCAAAAGTTAATGTTGATTGAACAAAATAACACAAACAATAACCAAAGCAGGACTATACGGTCAACAGAAAAGAGCAGGTTCAGCCGGTTCGTCATCCACACACCAGGTGCCGTAAATACCTGACCACATGTGATAATTGAATGATATACAACTGTGGTTAAAATAAATAAGCATAATACCAGGAATAATAAGCAACGGCAAAAATGTAATAGTACATCAATATTATTTACGATATTTTTTTTTAAAAAGGTGTATAAATAATTCCTTTGATTAACCCCTGGAGCGACCAGTGTGAATATGTAACATTCATGAAAATAAAGGTTAGAAAAAAGGACTTCAGTTCACACACATATACAAGTGTACATCTGTGTCTTTATTGTTGTCAAAGGCATGTTAACAAAACAGGTGAACACGTAACATCTCAGTTGCTAAGGACAAGTTGTGTGAGATGCACAAACTGAGGGAAAAGTTGTTGAACAAGTCTTATCATTCCACATCCCTGACCAGTTGTTGTGTACACAGTCTTCACCTCTTCGGTTGTTTGGTTCTCCTTTATTCCAAAATAAAAACTTGGCTACACACCCATCAGACCACATCCAACTTCCTTCTTTGTGGATGTCACTGAGTCCGATCCATGTTGGTCCCTGAGCAAGGTCAAAGTTTTTGATCAGGAGTTTGACAAAAGACTCTTCTCGTTTACCGTGGATAGACACTAGGTTGCCTCCCTGGGACAGACAGTGGAGCTCTGCATCAGCCCAGGTCATCTTTGTGGCGATGTACTTGTAGCAGCGGCCGTTGAAGGAGAACCAGAATGAGGGACAGCTGCTACGCTCAAGCACCATTTCAGGGTCATCTGAAGAAGACACAGCACCCAGAGCCAGGCCCAACAGGAAGAGGAAAACCAGCATGATGATGATGTCACCGTCTCTGTCTGTTGAAGTTGCACTGAACCGTTGATGGAGATTGTGAAGCTTCAAGTGACAGGCTGCTTCTTTATATATGTGTGGGAATGTGACGTCATTGTCACGTGACGTGATCACATGACCGGTGATCGGTAAAATGTAAGTTATAAAAGTTTTGCCGGCAGTTTCAGATAACCTTTCTCATGGCTGCATGGTTCAGTGCAAGATTGAGTGCACGGCCTCCCCAAACGGCCTTGCCGTTTGGGCCCCCCCCCGGTGCTGTGATCTGGTGCGACGAGAGTTTTGATGGCAACTGCGGCTGGAGTGGACAGGACTGCTGAGGTGCCGAACATGGAAGGCGGAAGGGCAAGTGATAAGGCGGACGAAAGGAAGGACAAAGAAGAAGAGCAAGAACAAGGCAAGAAAGCGGGGAGGGGAAGGAAAAGAGGGGCAGATGGAGAGTACGAGGTACAGTGTGGAATTAACTGTGGAAGTAGTTGTGGAAGGGTCACTGTCTATGATGGACCTGCTTAAAGGAATACAGAAACAGTGTGGGGCAGTGGATGGATGTTAGAGTGACGGGGAGAACAGTATGAAGTAACGATGAGGACCATCCTGGGGAAAATGAAACTTATGGAGGGGCTGAGAGTGAACGGGGCCGCGGTACACGCAAAAAACATTATGAGCACTGATGTGACCGTCTCGTTCCTGCATCTGCCTGTCTATTTGCTGGATAAAACGATATTAAATAGGCTTGAGGAGTGGGGAGGTAAGCCCATCTCGGACATAAAAAAAAGAGTGTGGCCAGACTCGGACATTGTAGACGGCACCGGGTTCCTGAGAGTGAGGTTTAATAATAAGGTCCGCTCCCTACCGTATTCCATGAAGTTCGACACGGCTGAAGGGGGCGGAGTACTTCCGGGTCCTGCACAATGGCCAGGTTCCAGTGTGCAGGTTATGTATAAAGCCGGGTCACATCTTCAGAGAATGCCCAGACTTTAAATGCTACAGGTGTAATGAGCAAGGGCATTATGCAAAGGAGTGCAGGTATGGAGCTGAGAGAGCGGAGAGAGAAAGAGAGAGAGGAGGAAGACGAGGAGGATGAGGAAGACGGGGGGGAAGGCGACGAGGCGGAGGGGGCAAAGAAAAGACCCCATGATGAGATCAGCAGCGAAGATGAAGGTCCAGTGGTGGAGGACATCTAGGGGGCTTCGGTGATGGAAGAGAAAGCACCAAACGTGGGAAAGAGCAAGAAAAGTGCCAGGCAGGGCGGCAGAGGCGCCGACGGAAGCAGCAGAGGCGCCGAAGGGAGCAGCGGAGGGGGAAAGAAGTGTCGGGGTCCTGGAGTGGTGGAAGACATCTCGGAGGCTTCCGGAATGGAGGAGGGAGAGCTGTCGGAGGACCCGGGGGGCGCCATGGTCTTCGGGAGCCCTAATGATGAGCAGAGGGGCCGCGGCATGAGGAGAAACAGGCGCGAGGAGGAGAAGAAGACCTCAGCGGAGAACGCCGGGCTGATTGCTAGACGCAAAGCGGACAAGGAGAGGGAGGTGGAGAAAAGGAGAGCGGGTTCGACAGAGGGGGAGCTCGGGAAAGAAACCAGTTTAAGGTAATGATGCAAAGGACGTTTATTATAATAACATCCCTTTTGATGGCATCCATCTCATCCCTAAACGTAATGGTCTAAAAAGTAAGTTCAGAAGAAGCCGGGCGCTAAGTCTATGTGAGGCCAGCATCATATGTCTGCAGGAAACACATTGGGATGGGGAGAGTGTGGATGAGGTTAAAAAGGAAGTGGATGGGTGAAGTGTTTGCAAATAATGGGGGTGAGCATGCTAGAGGGGGTGGCGATACTCATCAATTCGGGGGATGTGAAGAATGCAAGGAAGGTTGAGGATGATGGTGAAGGGAGGATGATTGGGGTACAGTATGAATACATGGGGGACACTTTTAAGTTGATAGATGTGTATGCACCAAATAAAAAGAGTGAGAGAAGGATTTTTTTTGAGGGGTTGGATGGTAAATGTGGGGGGGACTGTTTGATTGTGGGAGACTTCAATGTGCGGTGTGGAAGGTTGGATGCGCCTGCGGGTGCTCGTTTTAGTAACGACTCCTCGAGGGGGCACTCAAAAAGATAATGAATGAGAATGGGTTGATAGATGTGTGGAGAGAAAGAAATCCGGATGTTAGAGAATCTTCTTGGGAGACGAGTGGGTGAAAGATAAACTTATGCAGAGCAGGATGGATTTAGCTCTGTGCTCGGAAGCTGTGAATGAAAAGATTGGAAAGATTGAATATAGGACCACAGCGTTGAGTGATCATATGGTTCTTAGTCTCAGGATGGGGCTGAAGATGAATGGGAGAGGCGGGGGGTATGTGGTGCTTGGAATGCGAAACTACTGAATGATGAGGTGTATAAAAAAAGGGTGAGAGAATGTATAAGGAGAGGGGTGTGATACAAGGGGTTTTTGGGCTGCATTTGTTTTTGTGAACGTAGTACGGCCGGGGCACGGTCTCCCCATACGGCCTTGCTGTTTTTGTGGCTGAGGTAAAGTGTCAGTGGGGGGGGGGGGGGGCGGGCCTTGTTTTAGGTTGGCGAGAGGTTTTGGTCCTGATGGAGAGAGGTGTTGGTCCTGATGGAGAGAGGTGTTGGTCCTGATGGAGAGAGGTTCTGTTCCTGATGGAGAGAGGTTTGCGTCCTAGATGCGAGAGATGTCCTGCTTCCTGATGGAGAGAGGTTTTGGTCCTGATGAGAGAGAGGTTCTGGAGGTTCTGTTCCTGATGGAGAGAGGTTCTGTTCCTGATGGAGAGAGGTTTTGGTCCTGATGGAGAGAGGTGTTGGTCCTGATGGAGCGCAGCCTCCAGCCAGAGGGTTGTGTTGAAGGCCCAGAGCTGAAGTCCACAAAGAGGATCCTGGCGTAGGTTCCTGCTGTGTCAGATGCTGGAGGAGGAAGTGAAGTGATAAACTATTAGTAAACCATGATGATGGATGTTATTATCAGCAGCTGCCAATAGATAAAGATAGATAAACTTGTATGATGGACCTTGACACACACACACACACACACACACACACACACACACACACACACACACACACACACACACACACACACACACACACACACACACCACACACACACACACACACACACACACACACACACACACACACACACACACACACACACACACACACACACACACACACACACACACACACACACACACCACACACAACACACACACACACACACACACACACACACACACAACACACACACACACACGTTTATTGAGAGCATCCCAAGGGCATTGATTATTTCATAGTTTAGAAGGGGGGAACATAGTCTAACAACAGTTAGCTTTTGTTAATTTTACCTCGAGCCAAACTTGTGAGACTTGTTTCTGAATCCCTTTCTCTTAAAGTGAATAAATAAAAAAACAAAACAATGGAGCTTACCCTAAAACTAACCACTGGATTGCTTGTCTAACATGACCTAGTCCATAAATGAGGTAGGGTGGGAACAATCAAACGCACCCTCCCAGGCATGTTAGCGAAGTACAACTGGGATTTCGAAGAGGAAGATATGCTTGGTCAATTCTTAATAAAAAAGAAAAACCAACAAATTGAGTACTTGAGTTTTCATTAGCAGCGCCTAGCTACAGCTGCGGAGCTTCGGTCAATACTGCTAACAGTCTATTTCCTTAAAAAGGTACATATCGCTGAATCTATTTTCATCTTCAGGTGATTAAATCTGCATAATGTCACTGTACAATAACATTAGAGCATTTTGTAATCCAGTGAGGAAATTCAAGACCAGTAAATATTGATTGATTAAACAACACTAAATAAAATGTTAGTATTTTCTTCAAACTCAGACTCTGCTGCGGCTTGTACCTCAAAGACAAAACAATTGCCTGATGATCTTTGTTGAAAAAGGTCTGATTGTCCTGTACAATGTGGGGTATTTTTAAATACTTACTAAACCACATTCAATATTATGTTAGACACAAGTTAGTTATTACTCACATATCAAAGTCTTTTCATCTGCATGATGGAAGAATAGCTGGGTGCTGCCTGGAGAGACTGATGAGAGGGACACAGGCTGGCATCAGCAGCTTTCCACACAAAGCCATCACATCTTCTCTTCCATAGTCCTCACTGTCCACTGGTGCTCTGTCAAAAGAGTGAACATCACAGCTGTCATGTTAACCCTTTGTTACACAACATACAACCAACATGTGTCAAAAGTGACCCGAATTAGTTTTAATTGTAAATATCTTTGCAAGAAATTACTTTAACCATTCAGGATCCCAGGTATTCCTCAATCAACATGTTTTGGATCAACACCAATTCTAATTTTTATTTTTCCCTTTCTTACTTTTTGAATAAAAATCATGTTGTATCACTACACTTCTAAGGCACAACATGGGTCAAACATTACCCGTATTATTTTGCTATGTTATTTCATGCATGGCCTGAGTGTTTCTTTACTACACATTCTCAAAAATAATTAATTTTAGCAGTGATTTGGACCAAGCATGTATGATGTAGTAATACAAAAACTATGTTAGTTCACACAGTATGACATTAGCTAGTCATGTTAGCTTGTAATATATAAAGCAGAGCTAACTAGCAAGTTAGCCGAACGTTAGCGGTTAGCTGTTTATGCTATGCTAGCTGTTGGCTACTGAACATTAACAAACTAGATTCCGCTGTAAGAAAGCTGTGAAACTTTACATTAAACTTGGCGACAACACTGTGACACCCCGCCTGCAAGTTTATGTGTAATTCTCCCGTGTTGGAGATGAGAGGGGTGGGGATAAGCTGCAATAAAGCTGTAAGCTAACGTTAGCAGCCACCTGTTAAGCTAGGTTTCCCGGGCGCAACATCTTGCAAGAAACAGCATCTCAGGGCTTCTTAACATTTAACAACCTATTAATTATGCATACCAACTTAACGGGAAGAAACTCAGCTAACTAGAAGAAGAAACGTAACCTTAATAATTTAAATAAAAAATAAAACATTCACAAACTAAGGATTATCTAAATACATGTTTCACTCCATTACAGTTGCAAGACTCACCAGATCGCAAGTCTTCTGTTCTTTGTTGATGTCCCGATGCTCATATTTAACGTGTAGATGTAAAACGATCCCGATATGAATCCATAAACTCCTGCAGCAGACATACAGACAGCTGCAGCTCGCAGGAAACTGACATGGATGTTTCAAATGTGAACCACAGGCGCGGACAGTTCTCATTGGCAGGTTTCTTCGATTACGTATATATGAACCAATCAGAAGTATTGTGGACTCATTCCAAACATGCCCGACTTGCCTGCCGTGTTCTAGCTGAATTCTATTTCAAGTGCCGTAGCTCTGGCTGTCGGCCAAACTAAGGTGTATTACTGTATATTGACCAATGGTTCACTAGCAGGAACCACGCCACAACAGTGTGATGTTTGTAAGTTTATTGAAGTAACATGTGAATG